TTGTATCAAACATGATTGCTATTGTATTGCTATGTTTCTTTATGTATGTCTATGCAACACGGAACATGAGAACTTATCGTACAAAGGCCCTTCCCTTATCTCTAACCATTAACTCTTTGAGCCAATGGTCGTTATGGATAGCGCTATTAGGAATTGACAACTCCTCACTCGCCCGAATCGCTGGAGTGCATGATACCATATTCATCTATGGAACGATAAGCATAGATCTCGATAGGGCTTCAGTCATAGGTTTGGTTGAGACTCATTGTTTGCTCATACACATACAAACTCGTTTCTCGTTATAGCAATAAACTTGTATTCATTAATAGCAATCAACTTGTTTATCATTGAAGCAATGTACTTGTATTTACGAAAAGCCTTATTGTACGCTCGATTTTATAAACTTGTGATACTCACCAACTATTTTCATAGTTGACGCTCGTTTTACATGCTTTTTCAGGAAATAATTAGTAAGTGGATGTAAAGATTCATCATCATAGAGCATGCTGCATCGTGTTGAAGCTATTATGAAGCTATATTTTGAACAATGTTATTTTGAAAAACTTGTATTTTGTTCTTTTGAAGCTATGGGTTGTAAACTTTTAAATACTGCTATGGTGATGTATCTTTATCTTTTGCAATGAAACCGTTATCGCTGTCATACCTTGCGTTTCCGCTTTAGCGGGGTGTGACAATGTAGGCCATAGGAAGGGTTAGAAAGGGTGTTGCATCGCAAAATCCAGCCAAACATACCAAGAGAGGTGTGTGCGGCCATCCAGCCGCACACCCAACCGCAAACTGCCTCTAACCTCACATCCGACCCTATATATTGGTGCGGACTCCTTTCCATTCACTTTTGGCTGCACTCTCTTCCTCTCTCTACTTTCTCTCTCTAAAAACATCACCCCAAGAACACTTAGAAGGCCTCCAAAACGTGAAGAACATCATTTTTCAGCTTGTTATTGAGGTAAAACACTTGAATCCAAGCCCAAAACTCATAGTGTTCTTCGTGTTCTTCACTCCTTGAAGGAGTGCAGCCGCACACCTTCATCACGTGGCCGCAAACATTCAAAACACCCTCCAAAGTGAGAGTATGGCCACAAAATCAACAAATAGGACTCAAACAAGGAGTGTACGGCCGCACACACACCCTGTACGGCCACACACTCTAGTGTGCAGCCTCACACACAAGTCTGGCCACATTCCCCAGCCACACACTCACATTTATGGTTATACACCCACCCTAATACTCATATTTGGCCTTAAACTTGCATAGATCATTGAGTATAAAACACGGGACACTTGGTCCTAGTGATTCCAAGTCCTTAGGGTGATTTCCCATCATTTAATCATTAAACGCCCTAGCTCTAACTTATATATGTGTCACCATATGATTAATAGGGGATACTTGCATTCAGAGCATCCTTTAACACTCGACACTCATATCAATAGCACACTTGAACTCTACACCAAACGGTGAGTTCATACCCCATTAATTAACCTTTCAGATGTTTTTAATTGTTTTATGGGGGGAATACAAGTTGAATCCAATACATTGCAGAATCAATCACACGTGATTTAAAGCTTACTATCAAAAGGATTTTTACATTTTTAAAGTATTTTGTCAGTAAAGTTATTGTAAATGTTTATTAAACTCATTTTCACAGATCAATTGTCTTAAAACCATTTTTCATTATTTTCAAAACCTTCAATTATTTCCAAATCATATCTACTCAAATATATTTATATAAATAAGTTTTGAAGGACTTAGAACTAATAACTGACCTTATTTCCTGTTCTTGTTTGATTGTGGGCTTAGGGTATTAGGTTATCTGTCCGACTTCCGTTTAATATTTAGTCATATATCTTGTATATTTGTGTTAGATATAAAAATTTTCATTCTAGTTTGATACTTCTACATATCGAAGACACTAAATCAAGTACTCAATTTAACTATAATAGGTATAGTTAAGGGTTACCACTCATTTTTGATATTACTACGATACACACTATGGTCAGTACAATTACAAGACTATATGTACAATACACGATGTGAAGAGAACACTATACACTATACACTATACTAAGGGAACACTACCCGCTATAAGAAGAAATACTATAAACTACATCAAGAGAACAGTACATAGTATACTAAGAGAACATTATATACCATACGAAAGAAAATACTATAACAGAATGTGATGCACTATCTCTCTATACGACCTATCATTATGCGATCGTCGGATAACCATCGTCTCTTGGAGGGAGAGCGACCACTACGTGTATAGATCTATACGGGACGGATTTTCCCCCATCCCGACTTCTAGCTACAGTCCGAGCCTTTTGGCCCACGGATAACAAATACTACTACACTATTGGAGACCTGGAGGTTCGGCCACTATACTACTATCACTCAGTATGATTTCATACGAGCTCACATTCAAACTTTAATTAAAAACACATCCCGAGGTGCATACAAAATTAATACTCTCCGGAGTTTACATTCACTATTACATTTAACCGGCAAGGGCGCTGCTGGAGTAAAACTCTATTCCTTCTCTGAAATGAACGATTTTAAAACTATATTTTCATTACTGACATTTTCATGAGAAGACTATTACCTTTACAAAGAAACAAACTTACAAATAACCTAGTTTTGATAAAATACTACTTTTGCTGGAAAATATGGGATTTTCTATGAATCAAACTACTTTCAAATTTTGATAACAGTCATTTCACTATAAGATTGTAGACACTTTTATACAAGCAACGACAATGAATACTTATGAACTCACCAGCTTTATATTGATACTCGTTTTCAAAATAACTTGTATTCTCAGGTCAAAAATAAACAGGTACTGATGCAGCTTTTGGGAAGATGGAGCACATATAAGAATCATCTTATATTTTGTTTATACTTTTGGTGTCTACATAAATGTACAGAACATGCTTGTATTACAATTATTATATTAATGCAATGGACGTGGTTGCTTGTTTTTACTATTATGCATTGTTATGATACTTAACATGACGTCCTCCACCCCAAAACGTATTCCGATGTTCTCGGTTTTGGGGTGTGACATTTGGAGTGTTCACCCGTCACCACACTTCTTCCTCTCAATCTTCGCTTGTTGTCTCTCTTCTGCCATTTTCTAAACTCAGTCTGCAACTCCGACAAGCAAGTAACAACCTTCGTCGTGGCCGGCGTGCTCCTCCCTCCTCTGTGCCAGGAGTCACTAATCTATAATTTTTATTTTCCTTCTCTCGCTCTTTATATTTCTCTTTCTTTCTCTTGGTTGGACAATAGAAATGGGTTAATGGTATTGGTAGAAGAATTGAAATGTTGGAAATATAATCTAGCATGTATTGAGAATTAAAATCTACGATCTTGAAATACTAAAAGGCTACAAAAGCTAAAATTAGTACTAATGAAATAATGAATTATGTTTGTTAGTACGATGTTCTAATAATTTTGTGTGAGTTATTAACCATAGTATTTCCCTTTTAATATATTTTCAATTCTAAAGCCTCCGATTCATAAAAAGAAATTGTAGATTTTAATGTCATATATTTAAAAAGAAAGTTGATTTAGGAATTACTATTAATGGTACAATAATTCAAATATTTCAATGTATAAGACCATGGGAATGATTATAATAATTTTAATATAAATATTAGATATCAAAGATACATGTTTAAATATTTTACGATATAGAACCCGGTTCGACCCAAATATTATTGACTGTTTATTTTTATTGGTTGCATTAATTAGGAACCATGTGGTTTTCTATTATAGACTCGCCACTGTCTATTTTATGTCTTATTTGACATCTCTAGAATCCCTAAGAAAACTCACTTTATTTCTTTATCTTTGGTGCACTCTTGCACGAAGATCTTTATGATTTTCAGAAATCTGGTTCGTTATCCTAATGGTTACTTTCAGGTTCGGAGCACTGTAAACGAATGATCAATTGCGAATGTATGAGGCTGTGAAAGTCAAAATCTAAAAGGATGATTCTAAGGGATAAGATTTAAAATTAGGCGCATGGAATTTGAAAGGGCTCCTGACATCATGCTAGTTTACCACTGCCTGACACAAGTAACAGTTGTAAGTCATGCTTTTGCAGGCCCCTTTTCAGGCTATTGAAGCGCCAAACACCGGATTTTCTCTCTCCTACTATATGGTATAAAAAGATTTCATCGATTCAGTTACCATTACCGATTTTAAAGAAATCAAACTCTTCGGAAAATTCTCTCTCTACTATTCATCTTCCTCTACAAGCTTCCACGGCTACTTCATTAGAAACCCCTTTTGCAACAGAACAGATGGTGCAATCCTTAATCCTTAATCTCAAGGAAAATCAAAACATGATTCTCGATCTTGACCCAGAAAAATACAACGGATTTCTTCAACGATCATCGAATGCTTAAGGTATTCTCCACTGGTTATCGCTCTTACCAAATCTGAGATTGTTCCCTTGGTTCATCTATCAAAATCTTTTTCAACTCCAAGCTATTAAAAGGGTGATGAGGTAATTGCATTCAAGATCTTCAACTAGAAAACCCAAATTGCCAAGTCGAGGTTTTGTAACCTTCTAGGGCTTCCATGGGGTCGTGACCTGATTGATTTTGAGAGCGTCTCCAACTGAGCAATTCTTGAGATGTTCTACCAGATGGGATACAAGGAAGTGTTGACTGCAGTTTCTAAGTTCAAGAATCCCAATTTATCGCCGATATGGAACGACCTCTTTACACTACTATTCAATAGGTTCTCGGAGAGGGTTACATGCTCTAATTATGCGAGCAAATTGTTTATGACGCTGATGTATGGCATCTACTCCGGCATCAATCTGGTTTACGGCTCAGTCCTCTGGACTTAATTGGTCCAAGGCACTCTCCCTACCACTCAACACAATGAATTCTCCTGTGCTCGTTTCTAGACCATCATCGTTCAATGAGCCATCAACAAGCTCAACATCCTAGTCTTGGAAGGTTCTGGTATGGCTACAATTCAGATCTTTCATACCACTAACATCATTCGCATAGATAATTCCAAATTCAACTTCATCAACTCAATTCCTGAACTAATGCTTAGAGATGTTCCAACACTCAAGACAGAAAAAGTGAAGGTGTTAAATGTCAAGCTTGAAAATGTTACAAGGACGATCGATGAGCTTTTATCTGAGAGAGTTGCTGTAAAAAGTTGTGTTTCTGATGTGAAAAGCTTGCTTTCCGATCTCATTGAAACTCGAGATACCTTAATCCCTATCACTGTTAGGAAGCATCTAGCAGATAAGCTTCTTCCCCTGTTCGCGGTGTTAAATCGACTTGAGGGTTTTTTGGAGTTTAGCTCACTTCCGAAATAAGGCGGAGCAGTTTGAGCATCACGTTCAGCCTTTTGTTTTTCTTCTTCTTCTCTTGCAGTGCATATATTTTCATCTCGAATTACATCACGAGCCTTGCGTTTAAGTTTCTCGTTTTCATCTTCCTCATCGTCTAAGACTTTCTCCTTTCCTCTTGAACCCGAAACTACATTACCCTTCGGTTAAGATTTAGATCAGAATCGGAGAAGCCTTTGTCTACGAGAAAGGTGGTTAAGCGGAGAATACAAAGGGATTGGAATCTGAACCGAAGGGTAATTTAGCTTTGGGTTCAAGAGGAAAGGAGAAAGTGTTAGACAATGAAGAAGAGGAAGAAGATAAAAACAAGAAACTTAAATTCAAGGCTCGTGATGAAATTCAAGATGAAAATATGTGCATTGCGAGAGAAGCAGAAGAAAAAGAAAATGATGAACGTGAAGCTCAAACTGCTTTAGCTGCTAAGAAACTGTTATTTCCTCCTTGTTCCTTAGAGCGAATTTTGAACGAAGCAATTCATAATCCGAGCCTTCATTGGTTGGAGCCAGTTACATCATTCAAAGTGGAGAACACTCTTGATTCGCAACTCAATTTCCCCATCACACCAAAATCAATATTAATTGGATGTTTTGATGTGATTGCGAACGCTCCATATTATGATGCGAATGTTTATAAGTCCTTGATGTCTTTTTACTTGATGCATCTAAGAGTTTCATTAATGTTAAATTCAAAACAACTCACAGTTCTACGAATTCAGTGTTTGAATTCTCTCTTGCAGACTTACCATGCGTGAATCCTTATGATTGGATTGTCCTATTACATTTCCTTATGCAAGACGATAAGAAATATGAACCCACTGTTGCTCACATCAAAAGGATGTTGGTTTCTTATATTTATGAAGTTGCGAAGTTTGATGTTGAAATTGCTTCAATATTGCGAAAGAAACCAATAGCATTCCCTAAGGCTCAACGACTGATATTGAGAAGATACAGATGGGGAAAATTGAAACTAACAACTAGACTGTTATGTTTCAGAGAGGTTCTAGAGAAAAAGGATATTTTCGGAAAGGTTTGTTCCCACTGCCAGATAAGCATCTGTTTTCTACAGTTTGCTTATACTACATTCTGGATATCACAAGCAATTGTAATGTGAACAATGATCCTGAAAAGAAGTGTTATTCATACATGATCAGATGGTACATAGATTTTCACAGTGCTCTTCTCAGTGTTATGCCCAAACTTTTCAAGACTCAGAAGCGAACACAATAATGAAGAGCATCTCGCCTCAATTGACGCAAAGCGGGATATTGTTGGGTATTTAGTGTTGCGTCATTCTAGGTTTTTGTATAATCTATTTTGTATCCGGGCTGGGCCTATCCACCCATGATTAATGATCAGGGTTTAGCTATTTAAGGTGCACGCATGTAATGTATCTTGTAATTGTCCAATAATATTGTAACCCTTACACCCCTTTACAATAGCAGTTCTTAATCAAGCTCTTCTAAGGCTATGCTATTTAATCATTCGACATCATTGATATTATTTCCGTGTGTTCATCATTCTTTTACCTATTTGAATCTATTCGATCACTCTGGATTTAATCTCAACAATAAAAAATAGAGTTATTATCTGTAACGTCAATGATTTCATACCAAGTACACCCAAAATAAATTTCATTTATCATTTAAAAGTTTACAGTGGTTTTGGTGTACATTAGTTCTCTCTAATAAAAGTGTTATCACAAGTATCGTACTGGCCTCAAGTATAGGATCAAGTCGGGCATCATAACTATACATCTACAAAACAAATCATCATAACAACATAAGCCTCATGGCTTAGTAAATAACAGACACTAAAACTTAATCAGATAAATCGTATAAATCACATTATAACTTATTTCTCACTCAGGTAACAATTAATTTATGTAATTAAGGGTGTTATCATAACCAACCTCTCTGTGATAATCTAGTTCTCATTAAAAATCTATTCCTCATTTATTAATACATCTCTCTATCATTAATCTATTTGTCAATCGTGATCATCCACCCAATCAATGATCTCTACATTTCTTTCTCTTTCTTTCTCTCTCTCTCTCTCTCTCTCTCTCTCTCTATATATATATATATATATATATATATATATATATATATATATATATATATATATATGTTCCTCTTCATTTCATGATCATTCTCTCAATTAACAATTAATCTATCAATGTCCCTCAATATCATAATTTATCTTTCTCAATACTAATAAATCTTTCTATTAAGATCTATCTCTTTCAATGGCAATTAATCTCTCTATCTTAATCTATCACGTGTTCATAAATAAGCCATCAATCACGATCAGTCTATTATTTATAATTAATCTATCAATTATAATGCATTTTCCAATAATGTTCTAACTCATAGAATTGAATAATTTTCAACAAAATCAATATATTTAAAATCAGTGAATAGTTCAAATATCACATATAATAAATATCATAATTATCCCATGTACCACAAATCTAATATAAAAAACTACTCATAAAAATCTATCTTTTAATATGATCTATCTATTAATTACAATATATATATATATATATATATATATATATATATATATATATATATATATATATATATATATATATATATATATATTTCATCAGTCAAAATCAACCTCTCTATCAAATATTTATTTTTCGATATAATGATTCCTCCAATATCAATTAATTTATCTTTAACAATTACTCATATAAATCATGTAATGTATACCACAAATAGTACATTAAAGGATTTAAGAGTAGTGTTACACACCTGGCTAGTTACGAGACTAGTTCCTGTATCAGACTTAGACCTGATTCTGCTAAATGTCTCACTCTCTCGCCACGTATGTCACACTTTTCCGCTAAGTATCCCGGTAACTTGTCTCATCTCACGTCATGAGATATCTCTTGTCACATCATGGGGAACATACCTTGACATCATGATGGTCAAATTTTGACCATTGGCTATGACTTTCTCAAAATAACAATGTACTTTCATCTAAACTTCAAACGACCATAACTTTCTCATACAAACTCCATTTTCAATGATCTTTATATCCAATGAATCCTCTCAACAAGCTCTACAACATTAATTAATTATCATTTTCCAAAGAGAATTTGTAAAATTTAGGTAACTCCATGCTCTATTTCTTTTACTCGCCTAATATCACTTTATATCTTCAAAAGTAATACTTGGTTATAAAAGACATGTACTACAAGTTCTCTCCTACTTAAAAGTTTCCTTCCTCAGAATCTCACTAAGTAAGGGTGTATCAATTAAGAATTTTTTTCTTTAGACAAAACTGCACAAATGGTCCCTGTGGTTTGCTCAAAATTGTCACATTGGTCCAAAAACGTTTGGACTAGCACCATAGGTCCAAAGTTTTTATTTTGTTGCGTCTTTGGTCCAAAGCACTTTAAAAATTGTTCAAATGACGGATTTGCCCCTCTCTATTTGTTTTTTCCTTTTCTTTTTTCCTTTACTATTTTTTATTATTTAATTACATAGGGTCCCACCTTCTCTCTCTCTCTCTCTCTCTTTCTCTCTCTCTCTCTCTCTCTCTCTCTCTCCCTACAACCCAAACCCACTAATAACCTTCCTCTGTCTTTCTCCAGTGACTATCGTCTTCCAAAATCGATTTTTTTGTGTTTACAATATTTGTTGTGAATCATTTTTTGGGGAGAATCAATTTCTGGTTTCATCTTCTCTAACCCAATTTTTGGGTTTCATCTTCCATCATCGGTAGATAAGGTATCCTTCATCGTCAAAGTCGTTATCGAAGGCGTCATCGTTGAAGAGAAAGATGTCGTTTTTCAGAGCCCTCATCAGATTAACTAGTCGGTATGGTAACGGTAGTCCTAGAAAAATCAAATAAGGCTAGATATAAAGATCGAGGTCGCCAGAGCCACAACGAACCCTAGCTCCGATTAGGGCTCCGTCGCCGCTGCTATGAAGATCCAATTAGGGCTTCGCCTCCGCTTCATATCCATTTCTCTCACTGTCAATCTTAAATCCCTCACCATCGTTTCTATGAAGATCCACAACAAACCCTGCTCTAATTCATTCCTCGTGTTATCAACAAAAACATCTTTTTCTCCATCATAATCTTTCTTTCATTCGAAACAGAAGCTACAAATCGATTTGGTGATGGACTAGATAGTTTCAATGGACATGATAATGCTTCAAACTGTAGCACGAGCAAGAGGAGAGAGAAGCAAATGAACGGTGTTCTTTATATACCAATTTTCATTTGTTTTATAGGACTTCCTTTGGTTATAAAGGTTTAAAAATTATGGATTTTTTAGGTTGTAAGCATCATATTGTTTGTGTTTGCAGTGGTATTAATTTCATGGAAGCTTGGTAGAGAGAGAGACAGAGAAGAGAGAGAGAAAGAGAGAGAGAGAGAGAGAGAGAGGGTGGGTGGCTGGGACCCTATGTAATTAAATAATAAAAAATAGTAAAGGAAAAAAGAAAAGGAAAAAACAAATAGAGAGGGGCAAATCCGTCATTTGAAGAATTTTTAAAGTGCTTTGGACCAAAGACCTAACAAAATGAAAACTTTGGACCTGTGGTGCTAGTCCAAACTTTTTTGGACCAAAGTGTCAATTTTGAACAAACCACATGACTATTTGTGTAGTTTTGTCTTTTCTTAATCATGAAATACTCGTAAGTATGTTAAATTTAATCTTTCTCTTAAATCTTCTCCGATAACTCATTTGTCACAGTCTCAAACTATAATTACTCTCTCATATCAACTTAACAGATGTTTCTCGTTAAAGATGCTATTCAAAATTTTACAACAAAAGGTCTCAACATCATATCCTTTTTTTATACTCAACTAAAAACTCATCTCCTTCCTATATTCAAAATTTTATTTCCACTCTTATTTTCTTATGTATCCTCTTAGTTTAAACAACTCCCATATTTCTCATACGTTTAGACATTTCTTGCGTCTTTAATTTAATATCCTTTTTATATAACTCTTTAGTAATGATCAATTTGAATTTCTAGGGAAAATTATCCGACCATTACAATTCGATACTACCCTTAATCATTAACATTTTTTCTTAGTTATCAAGATCAGTCAATATTCCTACTATTATTAGAAATGTTAATCATGTCTTTCACAATTTGTAGTAGTTCACATATTATTTTTCAAAGTCGGCTATTGCTTTTAGCATTTCTCAATTATCATCTGGTACTAAAATTACATCTCATTTCCAAGCTACAAGTGTATTAGTAATTATTAAACATGTAAACTAGAAACTTATTAAGTATATCACATACTGAATATATATTAAGCACTCCACATATTGATCCATGGTGAATCACATATTAACTGCTATCACTCACTTCTCAATAGTTCTACTAGTTCTCATAATACTCAAATTAATCTTGTTATCCCCTACGGTACTTACAATGTAGTTAATTCACTCAAGTATTTATAAATCACTCAAATCACCTAGGTTAATCTCTAAGATTATTCTAATTAATGATTTATTGTTCAATTTAATTTCTTCTATAAGTAGGTCAATCTCTCAGAGCATTCACTCAAATTAAATAATCTTATCAATCACTTTGATCGATTTCAATTATTTAGTTTAATTTTAATTTCTTAGATCAATATCAGTTGTTCATAGACATCTATTCAATCACTATATACCACTCGATTGAATCACTTAAATACTCAGATTAATCAGCCACTCTAATCAATCGCTCTAATCAATATTAATCGTTATGTTCAATCTCACTTAATCACT